CAACCCTGAGCCGGTGAGATTTGAACCGCTGACCTGCTGATCTAGCAGTAGCCTGCAGTGCTGCATTTAACCACTGCGCCACCTTGGCTCACACTTAGATGAGAATAAGAGCAAATAAGGAGGATGTGATAGAATGAGCATATTGCACAGAAATATGACTGTTTCTCTAAATAGTTAGGCCTCATTAAAGTTTTTTTCTTTTTAAAAAAAGCTAAGTACCAAACCAAAAATGCATATCTTGTATCAATGAAGGGCAACCAAAGTGGACTTCTACATAACAATCCAACACCTTCAGGGAGCAGATCATGCCCCTTTCCCAGGCCTGCTGAACGAGCCAGATGTACAAGAGCCCAACAGGATTGGGCCCATGTGGCCCCTTCTTCAGGGTTCGCTTGCCAGCAGAGAGGACACATTGCTTAGGTCAGCAAGAAACACTTGGCTGGATAGTGGAGATGGCCTTCCTGCAGGCCCTCCACCCCAGACATCCTTCAAAATACCCATTTTATTCTTAGGCCATCTGAAAGAGGCATGGATAAGTTTTTTCTCTCTGCATGTATGCTTGTATGTTGCTCTTCTGGATTATGTGTTTTTAAAAATGTTTATTATGTGGTCTTCATGGATTATGAATTATTATTGAAGAACTGCAGTATGTCATTCTTATTCATGTTCAACATCCAATAAATCAAGGTAAACTCTTCACTCCTTTAACTGAAATACACCAAAAAACAATCCTGCAGCAGTTGGACCCTAAGCTGGAGAGGACATTTTGAGTGCCTACCGGCAGACTAAGTAGTGGATGGCTGGTTGAAAGCAGCCAGAAGCCTAGCAATAAGCACAACTTGCAGAGTAGCTGTAACTAGCTGAGTTACATGGGCAAAGGGGTGGACAGAGAAGGCACTTATTTAGCCATATTCTGGACCAGCTGTAGCTTCTGAGTAGCCTTCAAAGGTAGCTCCATTTAGTGCACATTGCAGTAATCCAAACTGAGTTGACTTAGGCCAGAGTGATGTGAGAAGGGCCTCTAAAATGGGTTTGTGGAAAGGCTTCCTCAACCATCTGCTTGATGGATAGGAACCAAGAATCAAAGAAAGTATCCAAATGACATATCAGGTGGAGCTGGAGAAGTGCCACCTAATTGAGAATTAAGTTGCTAAATCACTGTAGCCAAAAAGTCCTTGAAACCAGAGCTTATGAGGCTTTGCCATGGTTGAGCCTATGCCTGGTCTCTAAGCTCCAGGACAGGATTTCACAGCCTTCCATCTGGCTGGGATAGAGATGTAACCTGATCCTACACTGAGGGGGTAACATAATTCATTCCACCATGTGATAAAGAGAATGTGGAGTCCTGCAGAACCTACTGAGCAGGGGCCTCAGCCTAACACTTTCCCTGTCTAGCAACACCAGAGAAGACCTGTAAAACAATGCCTATTGGCATCACTGAGAGTTCAAGTTGCCGCATCTGGTCTGGTCATTGACAAACGCTCCTACCATCTGGCACAGTCTCTGTCCCAAGAGATGTCAAGACTAGGGCTCCTTTGGAGACATATATTTGGCTGTTGACAGAAAGCAGGATGGGGGGTGAGAAAGGCTTTGCTCCTATTCTGCCCCTGGCAAAGGACGCACCTTTGCTGGCCTCCTGGTATTTGCGCTTTGCCTGTGCACATTCACGGATGTGGCTGCGGTACTGGGCTCTCAGGCGCTCGGGTTCTTGTTGGGTGGTCTGGAAAAGCCAAGAAGGAAGCTCAGAAGGGCTGGCTGCCCTGGTGGATTTCCCCACCCCACCCCACCCCAACATTTCCTAGCCCTTTCCCTGGGATCCTGTTGTTGCCAGGAGGACTCAGCTAGATGGCTGTACCCGGATGAAATCCTGGTTCATTTGTTGCCACTGTTCACTATAACAACGGTGCAGTTGCTGCTTGTCTTGGATAAGCAGGGCCAGGGTGTTCAGGGGTCCAGCCAGCAGGGCTTCCGCGTGGCGTTCTAGAGCTTGGCTCAGCGCCTCGGTCTGGGTCACCACGGACCACCAACACTGCAACAGAGAAGAGCCTGAAAAGTATGGCCTACTTCCACTGGAGGAACTAGAGGGGGATGCTCTCTAGACACTGGTTGGGGAAAGATCTTTCTGAGGAAGGGCACCTCACTTTGCCACCAGTTTGCATTAAGCAGAAGACAAGATAGCTGAAGGATGGTGGAGGGAAACGTGCCATGATCAGAAAGGGCAGTTTGGTCAACTCCAAGGATGGATTTTTTAAATGGGTTTTGATCGTCAACCAGCCTGACCACGCTGGAGCCACTGGGTCTTTTAGAAGGGGTAACGGCCCTGCAAAGGGAAGGACGGCCGTCGGAGGTCACGGGACAAACCTAGCCCCAGCGGAGAAGCGCCAAAGGCAACCCGGCTGCCGCTCTCTTGCGCGAGTCGAGAGCCGCGCCCTTCCGTGGGCATTTCGGATGTGCCGCAGCTGCTCTGAGCCGACGGACCGGGAAGGCGCGGGCCGAGGCAAGCCGAAATCCTGCCCGGGGCTGCCTACCTGACCGATCTGGCCGCCGAGTCGGGACTGCCGGCTGCTTTCCTGCTTGCCGGCTAGGCTGTGCATCTGGTGCAGCAGCGCCGCGTACTCCCGGTCGCTCTTGGCCCGCTGCCCCATCCACTTGCGCAGCCCCTCCAGCAGGCGCACCTCCGACTCCTGCAGCTGCAGCAGGGCGCTGTGGCCCTCGGGGCAGCCGAGCGCCAGCCCGAAGCCCATCGCCGCCCCGGAGTTAGCCACCGAGCTCTCCTGCCCCGCCCCGCCGCGAAGCCCCTTTCCTCGAGCCGCGGCTGGCTGGCGGCCGGGAGACCCACACCACTCCTCGGCGCACGTCGCCGCGACCCCTCGAAGCCGGCCAGGCGCCCTGCGCGAGTCCGAAAGGCAAAAGAGGAACAGGAAGCCTCCCGGCGCCCGACCAACATTGCGAATTGCCTCTTCCTGCGCCACTTCTCCTTTCCCCGCTCCAAGGACAGAGGAGCGTCCCGGGCGACTCGAGGCCTTCAAGGAGCTGCGGTCCTGGCTGGCTGGTGAGGCCGCTTGGCGTCCCGGCCCACAGGTGCCCACAGGGCTGGCGAGCGGACGGCGGGGGGAGGCTGGCTGCCCTTTGCCGCCACTTTGGAGAAACCCTGCGCGGATGGGGCTCTGCGTCCCTGAAAATTGTCGGAGGGACGGGGGGAAACACCTATTTACCTGCAGGTATTCAGTCGGCAGCCATTCAACAGGGGGTCCCTCATCCTTTCCCAAACTTGCAGAAATGAACTTGTGGGCTCGGCGGGTGAGCCAGAAGTAGGGCTCTATCTGGAGCCCACGGATGAAAAAGTGATCTGGATACAGGTCTGCACTCAGCTGCGTTCTAGAGTGCTCTTTAACAGATTAACAGATGGAAGGGACCTTCTAGGTTATCTAGTCGAACCCCCTGCCCAAGCAGGAGACCCTAAACCATTTCCAACAGATGGCAGTCCAGTCTCTTCTTAAAATCCTCCAGTTATGAAACTCCCACAATTTCCAAAAGCAACTTCTGTTATACTGGTTGTTTGCTCTCACTGTGAGAAAATTTATCCTTATTTCTAGGTTGAATCTCTCCTTGATCAGTTTCCATCCATTATTCCTTATCTGGCTTTTGAGTGCTTTGGAAAATAGCTTGACTCCTTCCTCTCTGTGGCAGCCCCTCAAATATTAAAACACTGCTATCATGTCTCCCCTGGTCCTTCTCTTCCCTAGACTAGCCATGCCCAGTTCCTGTAACCGTTCTTGTCTTAATCTCCAGTCCCCTATCATCCTAGTTGCTCTTCTCTGCACTTCGCACTAGAGTCTCAACATCTTTTTTATAGTCTGATGACCAAAACTAGATGTAGTATTCTAGGTGTGGTCTCACTAAGGCTTTATAGAGTGGTATTGGTACCTCTTGATTGTGGTATTGGTACCTCTTGATTGTATCCCTCTTGTGCCACCCACTGTTAATGCAATTTAGGATTGCATTGGCTATTTTGGCTGCAGCCACACACTGTTGGCTCATATTTAATTGGTTCTCCACTAAGACTCCCAAGATCAGTTACTGCTATTAAGCCTAATTTCACCCAGTCAATGTGTACTTTTGATTTTTCTTGTATAAAAGAAGAAGTATAAAAAGTATAAAAGTACTTTTCTTTATATTGAATTTCATTTTGTTAGATAAGTCCCAGTCTTCAAGTGTCCCAAGATCCATCTGGATCTTGAGCCTATCATCTAGGGCAGCGATGGCGAACCTTTTTTAGCTCGCGTGCCATAAGTAAAATCTAGGACTCTGGTATCATTATGTTCTATTCCTTGTGTTTGTGTTATGTAGAATTCTAATATGACATAGTCAGTCCCTTCCTCCCCCCACAGCCAGCTCAGAAGGGGAAGAGGATTTGCTTGGCCACAGGACTGCAGAGCAGTTGCCATTACAAATTATTTTTCCCCTCCACAAAAATAAAATTGGGGCTTAAAAAGAACTAAGAATAAATAACATACAATGGATTTAACTGCCACAAAATTGACAACTGCTTAAACGGCTTATTATTTTATTTCCATCCGCGTAAGCTGCCTTGAGTCACCATGGCAAGCAGGTGGCAATATAAATTTTCTAAAATAAATAAAAATAAATAATAGCAAGGCAATCCAGGTTGGGATTCTTCCTCTCCCTCCTCCTCACTGACAGAGCTTTCTCTTCACCAGCCTCTGCCCCTACTTTCCAAGCCCCTCCCTGGCAAGTGGCCCCTCATACCTAGCCCCACTGCCCTTCTTGCTCAGTGCAGATGGGCTGTCCAGCCCCCTCCCCCCCCCCTGAGCAGGTTCCAGCCAGCAGAGACAACCAAGTACACAGGTGGTGAGTTGGGATCTGCTGGGTTGAGCCTGGTGGCTTTCAGTCGGTCCACATTCCAGCTGCCACTTAAGTTCCAGATCTAATTCAAAGGTGTGATGTGAAAAGTGCTCCTGAGTCCAAATGAAGGCACCCATAATGGAGGGTCGTCGGGGGAGTCCACTATTTCTCTGAGCAATTAGTGTTAGGAATGGAGCCTGCATGCCAGGCTGCACAATCCACATCCCCACAAGGAAAGGGGCTTTCTGTCATATGGCATGGAATTTTTTTTTTTAAAGGTTACTTTGTGAATGAGAGGAAGGCAGAGAGCCTGTGGAGGAAGCAGCTTTCGTATGTCTCCACAGCTACTGATTAACACTGGGAATCTCCAGAAAACCGGAGAAGCCAGGAAACTGAATCAAAGGATCACTTGCTTAAGGAAATTGCTAATGAAAAGTTGTAGGTTGAGGACTACTTGTATTATCATGATCTGGGCAGCTCCATAATTATCTCCTTGTGGAATTAATGTTTGAATTAAAGTGTAACAAGAAGTGGGGCTATATTATTTTTCCTCTGTAAGCTAAAGCAGTGTTTTTCAACCTTTTTTGTGCAAAGGCACACTTTTTTCATGAAAAAAATCACGAGGCACACCACCATTAGAAAATGTTAAAAA